GTGGAGATAGTATACATCATTGTCTAACACCCCGTTATGGATGAAACTCGTTCGAAAGTGTGTCAAGTACTTTAACTGATCCAGTAGTGGATCAGTTAAAAAAAAGTAGTACTTCTTTTAGTATTTGCCATAAGTGTCTCCACTTGACCCTGTCGAACGCTTTTCGGTAATCTATAAAACAGATGTATAGTGGGATTTTGAATTCCCTAGATTTCTCGATTATCTGTCTTATATTCAGCAGGTGTTCTCGAGTGCCTCTACCTTTGGTAAATCCAGTTTGCTCTTGTGGAATTTCTCTTTGAAGGAATGTTTTCAGTCTCTCATTGATTATATGTAGCATTATCTTGCTGGCATGGGATATAAGAGAGATAGTTCTATAATTGTCGCATTTATGGAAGCTGCCTTTTTTATGTATGGTCGTTATTGTAGATTTTGTCCAGTCTTGAGGCCATTGTTTGGAATGCCATATTTGGTTACAGAGTAGATGAAGTAACTTTACGCCGGTTTCTTCTGTGGCTTTAAGCATTTCTGCTGTTATCATATCTGGACCTGGTGCTTTGTTATATTTGAGCTTGTTGATAGCCTGTCTTACTTCATTTTCGAGTATATCATGTTCTTCTTCCACCTCGTCAGAGATTTGGCTAACAAGCTCTTGGCGTTGATCATCTTTATATAGGTCCTGCAATACGATCTCCATGTCTCTGCTATGTCTTCTCTGTTTGTTCTTAGGGTTCCAGTGTTATCTTCAATGGCCCAAGTTCTGGCTCTGAAGTCTCTTGTCAGGTAGCGTATTTTTCTAAATAGATCTCTCGGCTGATTATTCTGACCATGTCTCTCAATTTCTTTGCATATACTTTGATAGTACTGTTTTTTGTCGGCCTTACATCTTCGTTTTATTTCTTTATTGAGGTTTCTTAAACTAGCTTTTTCCCTTTCACTATGTACACCACTTTTACAAAGATTTCTTCTATTCTCAATTATTTTAAGAGTTTCATCTGTTATCCAGTGTTTCCGTTTCACCGGATTATTTTTCTTTGAGCGATCCACTGGTGTTGTTACGCAATGTTTAACAGTCTCCCATATTTCTTGTGATGTTCCGTTACGAATAGAGGGCATACTTTTCTGTACTTCCTGTAGAAGGTCTTCTTTCTTTCTCAGTTCTATCTTCTTTATCTCTCTTTGTTTGTTGGGTGCTTTAAGTTTAAGCATTACTTTAGCTACAAGGAGAGTATGATCGGATCCGCATATCGCCCCTGGATACGATCTGACTGTTTGAATGGACGATCTCCAGCGAATATTGGTGAGGACGTAATCTATTTGATTTCTAAATCTATCTCCAGGACTTTTCCAGGTATAAAGTCGACGTACATGGTGTTTAAATCGAGTATTCATGATGGAGTAGTTGTTTGTGATAGTAAATTCGATTAAACGGTCTCCTCTTTCGTTTCTCTGCCCTATGCCAAACTTTCCCAGTACATTCTTTAAGTCGTCATTTTGTGTAGTGTTGCCAACTTTTGCATTAAAGTCGCCACATATTATAGTAAGTTCTTTATTTGGTATGTTAGCGATTGTGGTCTCCAGTTTTTCGTAGAACTCCTCGATCTTTATGTCATCTGATGTGCTGGTTGGCGCGTAAACTTGTATGATATTAAGTTTATGTGGTTTGCCATCCAGTTTAATGAGTACTATCCTATCGTTCACAGCTTTAAATTCGACAACTGACTTTTGTAATCTTGGTGAGACCAGAATGGCAACCCCTGTATAGTTCTGGGTCTCACCGCCAGAGAAGTAAATATAATTGCCATTGTCTATTCTAAAATGGCCCTCTCCTAACCAATGAGTTTCAGCTAGTCCAGCGATTTCTATGTTGTAATTTTTAGCATAGTCAACTTTTGTTATTGGTTTATAGTTTTAGTAACTGTTATCTTATATTCTCTATATTCACATATCTTCTTTTCTTGTCACACCCTAATGTATTTGAGTATGATTTTGTCAACTTTTCTACTAATTGAACTCTCCCATGGAATAGCTGATATTATTAAGGTATATATAAACGTGAACAATCATCTGAAGTTACGAATAGTAATAGAAATAGTTTTTTTATGAATTATGGCGAATTTGGTGCATTTTGATAAATTTTTATGTTATGGAATACAAATTTAGATTCCCCATGTCAGTTTATTTATTGTCTGTTTTGCTTTGAAAAATATTATAATTTTGCTTTCGAAAACCAAAAACTCTTTGGGTTTGATAGTTTGTTATTAGATAACGCCATAAAGTCTGTATGTGGTTATTTTTAAAATTACTTCTTTTGACGGAAAAGATTTGATTTCACGTTTAAAGTTTTTACATAGCTCTGAGGAATCCTGATAGGACAAAATACATATAAGCGAATAATGAAAGCACTATACTCAAATCGAATTTTAACTGTCTTTTCTAGGTTTTTTTTTATTTATGGTTATTAAAATTCATAAAGACATTTAAACATTTCCCTTTACTATAAGCATACTTTACATGTTTCAGCTTTCCATGAAGCTATCGGAGAAGCAATAGGTCTTTCAGTAGGCACTCCAAGGCATCTACAGGCTTTGGGATTAGTCCAGAAATCCGTAGATCGTGTAGCTGTGGATATAAACTTTTTGTATTCAATGGCTCTCGACAAGATAGTTTTCTTGCCGTTCGCTTTGGTAATGGATAAGTGGCGATATGACGTCTTCAAGGGTGTTGTTCAGAAAGAAGAATATAATTGCCATTGGTGGCTTCTAAGGTAAAATTATTTACTGTGTATATGATGTTTCTAATAAATAAAATACTTTATTGTTTAATATAATTTACAAATGTTACATAAAAAGACCGGATTATTACCATGACAGAAAGGTTAAAATAAGAACTTATATAAACTTATATAAACAAAACATTATGCAAAATTTAGCATAATATTTATGTTAATAAACCAAGTTTGAAAAAATTACTATAACCTAAAAGAAAGCATCTATTTCTTTTATTTACGTGCTCGGCAACTATAGCCACTGGTACGGGAGCGATTACAAACACCATTACAAGAGTTATAATATAATTAATAATTAAAGTTATGTCATATAAAAAATTCTTAGAGTTTACGATACAATAATATTTTTCTAAAAACTGAAGAACTCTGTTTACCTGGTTGAGATCACTAAGAATGGCTGCGGTTTGAGATTTAGCTGTTATTTTACTTTACCGTATTGATGACATTTGGTAAAAATGTGCTTCACTGTTCATTGGCACCGCCATGTTTGATAGATAGGCTGGACATCTGATATCATTAGGAAGCTGTTTGTTAGTTTGGTGTGGTCTATACGGATTTTTCGTTTAATTGTAAGGTCTTTTTTAAATAGTCCCGTGGTAGTGTATAATGGCTTATATAATGAAGGCTAGATTGCACGTAAGGATGTATTTAAGGAGCTCCGGTGAGTTTGCCATAATCTTCTGGTAAATCTGTATGCTTATATTTTTAAATCTTTACAAATTTAGATGTGACTTATTGATGTGGTATCTGTTAAAGCCGTTTTAACATGCTGATCTGCGAGTTCGTTGCCAGTTATAGAACCAATGTGGGACGGAATCTATATAAAGGTAATCTTAGTGTTTAATCAAGGAAGGTGATGGTAAGAGCCTGTAGAACAATGTATAATTCTCCAGTATGTACGCTACACAAAAGAGGAATAAAAGAAGTACAAATGAGATTGTTTTCTGATGTGACTAAACAGCCAACCCCCAAATCACTTTTGGAAGCATCGGTGTATAATATTTGATCAAAGTGATTATTGTGTAGACATATCCACACGTTGTCTGTCGCCCATCGGACGCGTCCCCAGGTGGTGGATAGAAGAACGCCCTAACCAGTCCTAGGATGTCCTTTTATGTCAATGATGACAGCCGTTACTTCATACTTTTCATTTATTGACATGGCGATGTCATTCTGGAGAAGGACAAGATTGCTACTAGTAGATCTGTGCCATCAAAAGCCAGATTTTTCTTTCAGAATAATTTTGTGTTTCTCAAGATACCAGATAAAACGTTTATTGATATTTTTTTAAAGTATTTTACACATGGTACAGGAAAGAGATAAAAGAAGCAGGGGAAGAGGCAGATAGTTATTTTTTTTTATTTTTAATACTATTGATGTTTGCCACGCATTCGGAAATTTGCGGAAAAGCCATTTTATTATATGTATCGAGATGTTTATATCGACATGGAGGTGACAGTTTCTTCAATAATATGTAGGAAAGTTCATCATAGCCAGCAGCGCTGTGTTTTTACAGGATTTAGGTGTAGATTTTATTTCGAAATACATTATAAGAACGTTTAGATAATTGGTATCGTCTGAAGCTGTGTATGAATAAGGAAAGAGTTAAGGAGGAGAAGAGTATAAAGGGTTAGGTCCAGATTTGTTGTGAATTTTTTTTCGCAGTTTTCTGCCAGAACATGATTTTCAATGATAACCTTTTAATTCAAAAAGAGATTGGGAATTTTGTGGTCATTTTTTGCCTTGTATTTGCCCAATTTTTTTCCAAACTTGTATTGGGCTAATATTTTCATTTATGGAAAAAACATATTGTCCCAATGAAGTTTTCTTACGGTATTTAATAATACTTGTAATATTATATCCGCTAAAAACAGTGTACTTGATATTTAAAGTAACATACCAGTTAATCACTTAAATTCAATGTCGTTCAGTCTATTGTATCAACAGGTGCCAACAATGAGTTTTCCCGTTTTGTTTATTAATAAAATTAAATTATTTATTATCCTCTTTCAATTGGAACTAAGTGAGATTGTATCTTAACTGGTAAGAATTTAACTAGGTTATTACAATAAGTACTTTAAGCAAAAACATTGGTAAATTAAGTATTTACCAATTGTATACCAATAATTTTATCAAAAATCCAAAATAATAAGAAAAAATGTAAAATGCTTATTATCCAGACTTAAGTGTATAATATTTATGTTGTTTGTAGTGAGAAATACCAAGGAATAAAACCACCAGTACTGAGGTCCGAAATCGACTTTGATCCAGGGTCCAAGTATCATATTCCTGCTAATATTCCATATTTAAGGTAAGTGTATTTAAATGCTATTAACAGTATTTACCTACCTACATGATTAAATTTATTACAACATATTTATACTAGATAGACACCTATTAGTTTTCTGTAGTTAAAATTATTTAAAAGTATACTTTGCTAGCTATTCAGGATATCATATACACGTCATTTAATGGTATATTTGGTACATTTAATTAGAAAATATTATATACTGTCTATATCACAAATTAAACACTTTGGAGATTCGCTGTTTAAGAATAGGCCCAGTATCCGTGTAGCCCAATAGGCGTGTATATGGCCCAGTCTCACACATGTTATGAATACTTGAGATCTTCTGCTTGTGGCTATTTGTTGCCACGGTAAAATATTACTCATGATCTGTTTTAATACAAGTTTCACGTACTTGCCACTTTATTTTGAAAAAGGCTTTTAAATCATTTGCTACACTCCGATATCCGGTCTCTGATTCGTCGTTACCGGTCACTTACACCTGTTAATTTATTGCCCTCGATACCAGTGGCCTTTAAACAGTTCCAATTTTATCATTTTCTCTATGGGATGTTTCGGGTAGAGATTTTTCATGGCTTTAATTGCTCTGAGGCAGTCGGAAACAATGATACTCTAGGAGATGTTATAGTATTAATATATTGCAGGACTTTAAACAATGCAAAAAGTACACCAACTTCCTGTTCGGTTTTTGATGTGTCTCGGACAAATACCAGCACACCTATAAATACAAGAGAACTGATGACAGACGAAAATCTGAAGAAGAGTTATGCGAATCAAATTAATGAAAGAATGCGAGTAATAGAACAAAATGATGATATCGAAGAGATGGTCAATGATATTAAAGGAACGATTCTGGCAGTAAACAAGGAACTTAAAACACAGATCAGAAAGAGAAAGCATAACGAATGGATGACGGACGAAATTATGGATCTAATGGAAAAGAGAAGGCAACATAAACAACAACGTAATCAAGACAAATACAAACAGATACACAAAGAAATCCGTCAGAAAATTAAGAAAGCAAAAGAACGTTGGATGGTGGAAAGGTGCAACGAAATAGAACAATTGCAGGAAAAAGGAGATAGTTTTGGACTACATAAGAAGATCAAAGAAATATCGAATATACACAAAAGCCACCACAGAACAAGAATACGCAATGACAGAAACGAATACATAGAGTCAGAAGAGGAGATAGGAATGGCGTGGAAAGAATACGCAGAAAGCCTTTTTAATGACGAAAGACCAACACAACCAACGCGCAAACTTCCTTCCGAAAACTTATCTTCTTCTTCTTCAGGTGCCATCTCCGCTACGGAGGTTGGCAATCATCATAGCTATCTTAATTTTTGAGGCAGTAGCTCTAAATAGTTGTTTTGAGCTGCATCCAAACCATTCTCTCAGGTTCTTCAGCCATGAAATTCGTCTTCCGATCAATCAATGAAAACTTATCAGGGCCATCAATAATGCGAAGTGAAATAGAATATGCAGTTAGAACCACAAAGATGCATAAAGCAACAGGTCCAGATGAAATTAATATAGAAGCAATAAAACTACTAGACGAGGAGAATATCGAAATCTTGGTAAGGCTGTTCAATAGAATTTATGATACTGGTTACATTCCGCGAGAATGGCTGCAGTCATCCTTTGTGATGATCCCAAAAACAGCTAATGCCACAAAATGCAATGAACACCGCTTAATCAGTTTAATGAGTCACTTGTTGAAACTCTTCCTTAGAATATTACACTCAAGAATGTACAAGATACTAGAAGAACTTAGCGGGTCAACACAATTCGGTTTTAAGGGAGGACTAGGAACAAGAGAGGCAATTTTATGTTTGAACACCTTAATACAAAACTGCTTAGATCAACGAAAAGATGTCTACCTCACCTTCATCGACTACGAGAAGGCATTTGACAATGTTAAACATGATATCATGATGAAAATACTACATAGGGCCAACATTGACCAGAAGGAGATCAGAATTATTCAGAATCTATACTGGAACCAAATGGCAAAGATGAGGATTGATCGAGACCAATATACGGATGAATTTGAAATCCGGAAAGGTGTCCGCCAAGGCTGCATACTCTCTCCGATGCTTTTTAATTTATATGTTGAAAATATATTTGCGGAAGCATTAGAAGATACGGAATTAGGCATTTAGGTGAACGGCATACCAATTAGCAACCTACGCTATGCGGACGACACAGTAATTATAACTGATAATTTGGAAGATCAGCAGTTATTACTTGATAGGGTGAATAGCATAGGTAAAAAATATGGCCTCAAAATCAACATTTTAAAAACGAAATATATGGTCATTAGCAGAAACCCTCCAGAAAACCCGATAATATGCATAGGTGACAATCGTATAAATCGCGTGAAAACTTTTAAATACCTTGGCACCACAATCAATGACCAATCGGATCCACAACACGAGATAAAAACCCGAATACAAATGGCAAGACAAGCTTTTGTGAAATTCAGACCGCTCCTATGTAATCAACACCTAAACTTCGAAATACGCTACAGAATGGTCAAGTGCTACATATGGTCCATCTTGCTTTATGGTATGGAAACGTGGACTTTGAAAAAAACATCTATCAACAAACTTGAAGCATTTGAAATGTGGTCATTGAGAAGAATGATGCGCATACCTTGGGTGGATAGAGTTCGAAACGATGACGTCCTTAATAGAGCCGGCGTGGAAAGAGAACTCTTTGAATTAATTAAAAAAACGCAAGATTGGTTACCTTGGGCACATATTGAGAGGAGCAAAATATGAAATACCACAGTTAATCCTACAAGGGAAGATCGAAGGTAGGAAAGGAGCCGGCCGCAAACAATTATTCTGCTTAAGAAATATTAAAGAATGGACAGGAATACACAATACAGGTGAGCTGTGTCACGCCGCCAAGAACAGAATTCTAGTAATGAGATAGTCGCCTACGCACTTTGGTGTATGGCATGTTAAGAAGAAGGTCAATATTTTAAACCATTCTTTGTACTGCTAGTTCAAGCTCTGCTTTAAAGATTGCTGGATTTGTTTGATCCTTAAAGTTTAAGCTTAATGATATAATAATTTTCGGTTCACCGAACCTGAATAGTCCATGGAGGCAAATTGTCAGAGTTTACAGGAAAATCTTTTGGAAATTAAATATTTAATTATTACATAAATTATTATTTTAAACAGTACAGTCAAATTCTTTGGTAGTATTGTTTTGTTGCGTTAAACCCATTATTAAAGTCGTTCATGTATTTATCGTTAAAGGTATTGTCATACAAAGATTTGGATCGGAGCCAATAAAAGTTAGTAAAGTAAGGGTGGCTCACCGGGTTCACTCAGTAGGTTTTCAATGCGAGTTGTCTGGAATGCCCCAAGAACAATTCTAATGCCAAGATTGTGTACAGTATCAAGCTTTTCAACTGGTGTTGTTGAGGCTGAGGCATAAACAATTGACCCGTTATCTATTTTGGACTTTCTTACGTTCGATTGATTTACCCACATGTTTAATCAGATCTCCTGATCTGATTTCTATTAGCCAGTGTTCTTAATAAGTTGTTTAGTCTTTTATGAAATGATACAGTCTTTTATATGCTCCTGTCACGAATTAGTAACGAGGTAAGCATTTTCTTGATATAAAGAATCTATATAATTTCATAAAACTTATATTGCTAATTGCACAATATTCTGCAGAAAAGAATCAACCTATAAAATAAACTTTTTTGCTCTATTCATGGTAGCGCTTTGAACAGTGGTTAAACATTATTTGCAGAATGGAACCAGGCCACAGCAGGTGTATGCTGCGATCTGTCACTCAGTAAACCAACCCATATTACTTGATCACGCAATTAAGTAATCTGCAGAAAAGATTCGAGTGGGTTGGTTCCATTAAGCCAAACTTGGAAACCACATAGCATAAAACGCTTCAGACCTTGGTTCCCTTCTTCAACGACTTTAATACCTCTGTTTGTCATGCGGTAAAGCTAAGACTATATGTTTGTATAATTATGTAGTAAAAAAATTGCAAATTATTAATTATTAACAACTACTGGGTGAATCTATCAATAACATTAGATACGCGGACGACACGGTAGTATTCGCTGACAGCTCTGAAACCCTCCAGGAGTTAATGAACAGAATCACAGGGGTCAGTCAGAGATACGGACTTTCACTCAACATTAAGAAAACAAAATGCATGATGATCTCTAAGAAGGAACAGCAATTTGGACAAATCAGTGTAAACGGTCAACAAATAGAAAGAGTAAAAACATACATCTACCTTGGTACGAACGTCAATGAAAATTGGGACCATTCCATAGAAATCAAATGTAGAATAGAGAAAGTACTATACTATACTATTTCCTATACTATTGTACGGAGTTGAGTCATGGACTCTCACAGACGCCACCTGCAAGAAAATTGAGGCTTTTGAAATGTGGTTTTATCGTCGCATCCTGAAGACATCGTATACCGACCACGTTACTAATGAGGGTGTTCTGTTGAGAATGAAAAAAGAAAAAGAGCTGTTAACCACAATAAAAACAGCCAAAATCGAATACCTCGGTCACATCATGAGGAACAGCGAAACATATGGACTGCTGCAACTAATCTTGCAGGGAAAAGTAGAAGGAAAACGGGGACCAAAAAGGCGAAGGATTTCCTGGCTGAAAAATCTACGAACGTGGTTCAACACAACAACCAGAAATCTTTTTAGAGCATCAGTGTGCAAAGTGCACATTGCCATGATGGTCGCCAATATCCGAAACGGATAGGTACTACAAGAAGAAGAAGAATAAGAACTGGTTGATAAAACAGTGGATAAATCTGTAAAATAGTAACGCGTAGTAGGAACTGCGCTTTATTTTGAGAATAGCCCCTTCTAATAATAAAATAATATCTATGGTTAGATGGTTACTTTGTATTAATTCTTGGTCAAAGGAATAAATATAAAGTATCAGTAATGTAAGAGTCTATTGTGCACTGTGTTGTATTTTATTTTTTA